TATATATATGTTACAAGTATCACAGAAAAATATTGCATCATATTACTGTGAGCATGTGGCAAGTTAGAAGGAGAAATTTGGTGATTCACAGATATATGCTCGGAAACGTGTGTCTGTAGTGTAGCGCCTACACCTGTCGCGCGCCGTCGTTTCCTCGTTTTTCTCTTTAAACCTCCACTTCCATTACTTTCTTCGCACTCTACTGTCAACGCTTTTATCAGACTACTGAAGTATTCTTCTAAGCCCGCCCAACAATTCTTTTCGATTACACCTATTTTTTCAAAATAGGGATACGTCAGTTTATTCTTTAATTATGTATAATATCGGATATATCAAATATTTTACATCTTGAAACAAAGAATTATTATTATTCAAGAACCGCAAATTTTCAATAAATAAAGAATTAATGCATAATCAGATTTATAAAAATTAAAAAAAATTAACATTTATAAATAAATCAACGATTGATTATATGTCGGTTAAAGCTGATTAGATTATCTTTCTAAATGACCAATGTCTAAAATATAGCAATAAACTTAAATAAGATTCTAGATAAGATATAGCAAATCTGAAACCATGAAACATGAAAACAACAAATGTAAGTTTATAATCTCAAATCTTCAAAGTCCTTACATATATTTAATATATCCGACTTATATTCTTCTATAAATTTAAACTGTAATACATCAATCTTTTTTTCTGCAATTTAGCCTTTAATCGTTAATTATGAAAACTTACTTTTCACAAAACCCCAGACGCTCTTTTTATACTTGATTTGCGAATAAATCGTAAGACTTGTCTCATTTTCAGAAACATTGTTCATGCAATAATGCGTCAAAACACTGAAAGAATCGGCGTAAGGTATACCAGCGTTAACACTTTCTACATCGATGCAATAAAGATGACCTGGTCTACTGCATGGTAACATCACCTATATAACATCATATTCAAAAAGAAGTATAATGATCACGATATTCAATAATAATATATATTATTATTGAAATAGAATTTTTACCTGTGTTTCCGTAACTTGACAGGTTCTCGGACCAATAGTTTGGGTTAAAGATATTGTATACGAAAGGGTTCTCATCTTTTGATCCGTTTGATTGTTTTGCGTCCATGCGGATTGTATTAAATCTATGCAAACAAGAGCATTAGAAACAAGAGAACAATAGAAACATGTATGTAGTTTATATTACAATATTGCATACATATACATATATGTGTTAACACATTGTGAATTAAAAAATTTATTTTCTCAGTTTTAAATTTTAAAAAGATGGAGCTCAGTTTTAACATTTTAAAAAGATGGAGCTTGCACTACAAGTATGAAGAGAAAGGAAGTGAGGTAGAGGGGGTAGGAAAAGAAAGGGATTATGACATAATTTCCGTTTTAAAAACATAACTTTAAGAAATTTTTTTGTTAGACTTTTAAATATCTAAAATGAATGTGTTCTTTAACAACGAACATGATAATTGAATTATTATCTTGTTACCAGTGGTTTTGCGAGAAGTATGAAAATCTAAGAAGAATTTCGAATTTGTGAAGAGCAGAGTGAACAACTGGTCGATGTAGATAGGCAATATTGCTTTGTTAACTTGCCGACCTTCATGCAGGGAGGTACAGACCATAGTGCTCCGTATATTCATTTTCACTGGAACAAGCATTATCATGACTGCATTACGTGCTATCGATAATTTTCAGAATGAACAGTATTTATATTTTTCAAATAGGATTTTTCAGATTTTCATTTTTCAGATAGAAATTGCGGGTCTTACACGCACATACATATATACAAACAATATAGACTGCTTATCAAAGTATCGCATAACATATGTTTCTGTTTATATTAAGATATTTTATGATAGCGATTTATAAGTTAGTTTGCCGGAAAAATAAATCTAATGTTAATGGAAATGTACATTGCAACACTTTACGAGATGCCTCAAATAAATGCAGATGCTTAACATTTACTTATTGACTTAGATCGCTAAAATAATTTCTTTCAATCAAGATTAAATAAATAAGTTAAAATGAACCATTCAAAACTACTTACAACCATGTTTTTCGGCCTCACTTTCTGTTGTATCACTTAAATCGGTTGGATCGAGGATAGGTTCCGGCTTAGGTATTGTTGGAGCTGGTGGTTGAATCTGAAGTTCAGCGACGGGCTCAGCAGGAACAGAATCCACAGGAGGGGATACTGAATTTTCCATCGTGGCTGCCTCAGTCTTTGTTTATTAAAAAAATTTTTTAATTATATTAGGATATTATATTATCTTTAGAGAATTAATCTTTTTATCATATAAGTTTTGATTTATGTATATAAAC